TTCGACCCCACCCATCTTTAGGGGTTGTGATATTGGTTGTACAGATTTTATTGAAATGAAATTTTTGTACAGATGTTGTGAAAGGATTTCTCAAAAGCATAACACCAATCCTAAACTTCTGCATTTTTTAGTTTTTCTTTTATGTCGTTGCAAACAGGTGGTATCGTTTCTTTTGGACACTAGTTTATATTTATCTACGCATCAAAACATTGGTCTTCAGCTTAACAATAAAACAGTACTCTACGTTCGCTGTTCCTATTTGACTGCAGCATTGTTGATGCTAATTTAAATAGGAACAGACGTGTGTTGTCAGCCATACGTAAATATTTGGCAACTCAAAAGCTGAAGCAGCTGTTGACAAACCGTTATCTCTAATAAATATCCCATACAGTGATTATATACCAAACACACAATTCAATACATGCAATATAGATGGGGCACCCACGAAGGTATTACTTATCCATATGAATTTAAAACAACAATCAGTCACAAACAGGATGAACCCTTGTTGTAGTGTGATGTGGAATCTCAGTGATGGGTATTGAACGAGCGCTTCATATAATTCGTGTCAGGATTACTTCCCTTTGTCCTTTCTATAATTTGTGTGTTTGTTTGTTCATTGTTTAACGCCACACCTCAGCTATATGACGGTGGTCTGTAAAAAATCTAGATTGGACCAGACTTTTCAGTGATTGATATCATGAGCATCTATACACGCAATTGGGATACCATGACATTAATCAACCAAGTCAGCGATCCCGTTAGTCGACTCTGAGGACAAGCAAAGTCGCATTTTACGACAAGCATGGTTGCTGAAGACCTATTCTACGCCGGATCTTCACGGTGCCCATTTTTGAAAGGTAGCCATTAGTCACATGCAATCGAACCAAGAAGTGGTGAACGGTTCAGTGTCAATCATTGTCTTGGCTGTTGCTGTTGCATTGCTATTTTTACGGGTACACATTGTGAAGTATAGAAGTGATTTTCCCGTATTATGGTTGAATATCGCTCTGACGGGAATATATATGTACCATGATGTGTCTGAGTAACAAATTGCTTGCTTTTAAATTGGGAGAGATGCTATTATCTACAGGGAATAAGGAGGTTAATGACAGTCAGCATAGTACAATGGTTCTAGTTGATCTTTTTTATGATTATGCAAATGGTTTTAGCACCGTACAACCTTACAAATAAAGAATTGAAAGTTGTATTATTGAGATCAAAAGATATGGACACCCAAGTTGGCATGCTACGCTTTACATTTTAGAACTTGGGGATCAGGCTCCTAATGTTGTCAAGTGACGCACGATTGGGCCATTTTACGACGACGTATTGGTCACAATAGGTTTGTTCTTGATGATAAGGATGAACTCTTGTAGTGTGATGCTGAAATCAAAGTCACGGGTATTTTACGAGCAGTTCATGATCATATGAGAAGCAGCCATTCAGCACAGAACAAGGAACTAATGAAAGGTTCATCGTCAAGCATATTCTTGGCTTCGTGAACATTGCATTTGCATGGAATTCTCATTATGAACCAGAAAGGTGAGTCCAATGAATCGTCAAGCCTGAACAATCCATCCGTTTGGTCACCTCTTACAAAATAAATTTGAATTCCCAGGCTTGTTCATGTCATAATCAATGTAACTATCATCAGGCAGGGAGCAGTTTGTAATACTGGTTAGTTTATTATAAATGATTTATTAACAGTAACATCCTTTGGTTGGGTAGGTAAAAATCGCTCACTGTCACTTTAGATAAAAATAGATAGAGGTTATCACGCGGGTGTGTTTGGGGATGGTTAATATCCCGCATTAGGAATGAACATTGTATTTAGCGAGCCTTGGTGAGCTAAATACATAGAGTTTATTCCTAACGTACAGGATATTGACCATCCCGAAACGCACAAACGTGATAACCTCTTTATCATAAAATGTCATTCTTCAATTCTGTAATCGAAAATCGCTTTCCATCTCTCACAAACATTACCTAAACATTGCAATTTTTCCTGGAATGTACGCATTAATATATATTACGTCACAGGGTAAGTTATGTGTCCGTCGGACAGTGACAGTAGCCAATATAGTTCAACAGAAACCTGTTTCTTATACAGTGGCGTAACTACATACGCCCGTGAAGATTCCGGGGTAGAATAGGTCTTCAGCAACCCATGCTTGCCGTAAAAGGCGACTATGCTTGTCGTAAAAGGCGACTAACGGGATCGGGTGATCAGGCTCGTTGACTTGGTTGATGCTTGTCATCGATCCAAATTGTGTGGATCGATGCTCATGATGTCAGTCACTGGGTTGTCTGGTCCAGACTCGATTATTTTACAGACCGCCGTCATACAGCTGGAATATTGCTGAGTGCGGCGTAAAACAACAAATCAACCAACCAACGTAACTACATACAGTGTACATGCAAAACACAAATTGCCTACATAAATTGTTTTTACATTCCTTTCGCGGATATCCATCGGTCTGTCCGATAGAGTAACTGCCCTTTGTCAAAGGGAAGCTACTCTTACCCCATTCTATGAAACGTCACGGCCACAGTCAGACGTTGTTGACAGTAGGTCTGTCCTGTCAATCAATCAATCTTTATTCATGGTACTTAAGAGGCCAAAGGCCTATAGTACAATGTATGGGGCGTGTTACAAATTCATACATTTTCTTAGTTTCATGGCATGATAAATGAAGATTAATAGATTTCTAATAGTTTCTGTACGATCACAAGTCATTAATTTACAAAATTTGTTACCGTTTGGGTTGCGGTAGAAATAGTTATTTAGATATTTTGCTCTTAAATCTTCATACACTGGACATACACATAAAAAGTGATATTCATCTTCAGTACAATCAGTTTTACAAATCCTACAAAGTCTGTGTTCTCTTGCAATACCTTCATATCTGCCTGTTTCAATAAATAGATCATGTGAGCCACAACGGAATCGAGAAAGAGCTGTTCTCAACTTATGTAAATTTACACTTAATAGATAAGGTTCTAGTATAATAGTAGTCTTAAATGTAGTGTAATAGTTTGCTTTTCTAGAACTAAACAAAGAACAATGCCATTTTTGAATGTACATATCTTTTAAAGTCTGTGTCAAACGGGAGAAGAAATGTTGTGGCATATCTACATGTTGCTGTAACCAAATATAACCATATCCACATTCGTATAACATGTTTTTAACTTTTGATGCCCAATTTTGTTTCCCATGGCTGTCGTAGAGAAGCATCATATTATAACATTTTTTCGGGTATCTTGAAGATGGCATATTTAATAGCTTGACCAAGTATTTAATAACCTTTAAAAAACTATTGATATATGGGGAAACCGTCCGCATTCACCATATACCCTTGCGTTTTCTGTGCTAGATTTTACCCCCAAGAACCGTTTACATGCATATAAATGTATTTTCTCAATAACATCCAAATGGTCTAGGCCCCAAATTTCGGATCCATACAATAGCATCGGGCTTATTTTTGTATCAAATATTTTAAAATAAACATCATATGTAACATTGTCCAGAACTCTAAGACTTTTTAATATGCCTACAAAAATTTTCTTGGCTTGCAATGAAATGTTATGTGCATTCCTTGACCAAGTTAATCTACTTGTAAAACACAAGCCTAAGTATTTATAAAATGGAACAACTTCTACAGGCTTCCTTCTGTAAAACCATTTTTCTTTTCTGGATATGTTACCACCATTTTTAAAAACTACAACTTTGGTTTTATCCATATTTACAGTAAGTTTTGACTCGTCACAATAACTCTCTAATACATGTATTTGCTTTTGCAGGCCAGGTATTGTGCTCGAGAACATGACTATATCATCAGCGAAAAGAAGCAGAAATAATTTAATAGTTTCGGGGTGCAGTTGTATTCCATCAGTGCAATTTTTTGGGATTTGATATGCCAAATCATTTACGTCATAACGTTACGAAGTGCAGTCAGATGTACACACAGCTACAAAACGAAAAAAAGGTAACAATTCGAACATATTTCGGCCAACACCAACTGTTTTAATTTGTGAAAAAGGTTCCAAGCTGCAGACGTCTACAAGCACACATATGGAAATATATCCTGATAGGCTAGTACCCTCGCTATATTGTTTTGCAATTTATGTCTCCAAGGTTGCCAAAACTTGTAAAATGCCTTAGCTACGTCACAGTTAGACACTGATTTTCAGTAAATTAGATTATTATTTTCATAATGATAGCAATTATCCCAGTAGTTTCTCCAGATTCCCGATGGTTAATTCTGACTCGATCGCCGAATGACAAGGGCTACGCCATGTTTGTTTATAAACAGTGAAAGTAGTCCCTACTTGACCTTTGATATTTGCATCTGTATCCGCATATGACCGAAATGGATATCGTTTTTATCCGTTGGCTTTATCCTGCCGAGGCACCCACCCATTATGTGATAAATAACATTTACCCTGTGTCGGTGGTCAATGGGGAGAGTTCCAGGTCATCAGTAACATGCCATCAATGGCGTAAAAGTAACCAGGAACGAATTCTGTCTTCTCAGCTACAGCGAGATCAATTATATTATCATGAAACAGACGAATATATGAATAACTGAAATGCAGGCCCGAATAACTCACGTTGACGTCTTCCGCTCCAGATAGGGTGCTTCGTTCTCCAAATATGGATGTATTTGTTCCTTTATGCACAATGTACAATTTCTCATCAGGATGATTCTGTTTGTATATGTCATCAGGAAAATAACCAAGTACTTCCTGTACAATAGGTCTATTGTTCAGCATATTGGATGATATTACTGTTACCACATTTCGTGTGTGCCTCTTAAATAAAGCTACAAACCTATTTCCATATCTAATAGAAATTAATAGAAACACAGTTAATAAACCACAACATTAGGCGTAAACTTTGCGGTTATCTCCTGGCCCATTTTCCCCACTTTGTGAAATTATCCGTCAAAGAAACAAGATTACACGTGAAATGAATGCATGTATTTATTTTAAAGAAAATCACTCTCTATTCATCATATACAAAATAAAAGAACACACTTTGGGTTGGTAGGTAACAATCGCTCACTGTCACTGGCATGCATGTTTTATTCATTAATAAGTAAATCAGTCATTATTCATCATCATATACACAATAATAGAATAACACCCTTTGGTAATAATCGCTCACTGTCACAGTAGGTAAGAAGTAGATAACATTTACTCTGTGTCGGTGGTCACTGGGGGAGAGTTCCACGTCATCAGTAACATGTCATCAATGGCCTAAAAGTAACCAGGGATGAATTTTGTCTTCTTATCTACAGTGAGGTAATTTCATTGTAATGAAACAGACAAAATACGAAATAGCCCTGAAATGCAGGCCTGAATAACACACAGTGACTTGTTCTTTTCTAGATATACTGCTTGGGTTCTTTTTCGCAAATATGTTCCCTTTATCCGCTGTTCAAATTTCTGATCAGGATAATACTTGTCGTAAATGTCATCAGGAAAACCATCAGTACTTTCTGTACACTTGGTCTACTGTTCAAAATGGTGGAGTATATTACTGTGACAACATTTAGCACGTGTCTAATTAACACAATTAATCAATCATTACATTCAATACAATCTGTATCTACTTCTTCCAACTCTTGTTGGCAAATTTTACACATCTAACAGACAGTATGGTCTTGTTCCGGTCCCGTTGTATTCAGTTTAGGTTCAGCTTTGCGAGGACAGCAACAACTGTGAGCAGAAGGAAGTGCCCCGATATGGTAGCAGCACCAGAGGCTGGAGTACAAAACATTCATGTCTGCGTCATGACTGTTGCATTATCGTGTTCATCATTTAATAATGTTATGAAATGTGACCATATAACCTTTCAATAAAGCCTGTTCACTTAGAATACTTAATACTTAATTTAATTTTTATCTTACATCACTGTCAATCAACTCGATATTTGAATGAAAATGCATTTTTGCAACAGATGTAGACGTATTGCCCACGCCATGACATTCAGGCTTTGTGTCAGATTCGCAGGGAAGCATAGTCTTGGTCAGTATGGCCTCACTGGCATCTCTTGACAATCTGTGGACAATCTGACGTACAAGTAGATAAAACATCCCGCCCAATCAACACCAGATTGTTGTTACTGTCAATCCTCTATGGATGTTGTTATCCATAAAATTGTGTCTACCTTGTCACCCGTAAACTTCTAAGTAATGCCTAGCAAATAATTTAAAAGATCATTATATGTATACTTTGTGTGTGCAATGTTTCGGGAAAGGATAGCCATTTGCTTTAGAGACATGGTCCAGACAAACAGACCACTATGAATGCAATGTGTCATGTAAGAATACCTATTTGTTATATGATATGGTCCAGACAAACATTGACCACTGACGGACATACAATACATACTTTATATGCTCCGTTTTTCATACCAGAGGAATTTTAAGGCAAACTATCATGAAGTAAGAAGAATATGCTGAAACATTACCATGTTGCATTTCATTCCGTGCACCTAATGATAATGCCCCAAAGGTGGGACAGGATACGCTTACCTATTTGCAAACACCTGGTATCATCACTATTTGATAGTGTTACATAAATACATACTCATGACCTAGGCGGAATTGTACAAACAATCTACTCTGCTGTTAGTAGAGATTTGTTATAAAAATGGAAATGCATTTTTCGAATGATAATAACAGAAGAGGACCTACCGAGTTCACATCTGTCTCCACCGTGGCCAGATGTACATTTGCAGACAATTGCGCTGTTTTCAACTGAACACGCTCCTCCATTCTCGCACGGATTGATGTCGCATGAAGCTGTCAGAAATATACAGCACTCTCGTATCAAATAATGCATAACTAATGGTGATAGACTAATTATAACTCTATTAATTACTCAGTATGTTGTTTGAAACACTGTTAGACAATTTTGTATTCATAAATACTGTAAATCCTGAAATTAATGCGTCTCCAAAAGAATGCGACCGCTGGTCCCTAGCCAAAAATGCGACTCAATTTGAATGCGACGACCCCTCCTCTCAAGCATCAGTGGATGTATATCTAAAGAAATGTCCTCTGTCAGGTTTACATACTTACTTACTTACTCTGGAGATTTAACGTGCGTTTTCCGACTGATGCGTATTTCGCACACGGGCCCGGCCAGGCCATTTCATGTGTTTCCGAAAGGGGCGAAAGTGGTGTGTGCAACCCAAGAGGGGGCTTTAGGGGTTGCTTATATAGAATTTAGGAATTTTGAGATTTGGAATAGATGCCGATGGGGTTGGGGACGAGAACTAAGGGAGCTGGGTATGGTGGATGTTTGTTTGTTTATGTGATTTTGATTTGGTAGATTATTTTGTTTTTAGATGCGTTTTATCAGTTTTCATTAAAAATACGCCTAAGGCCTGGAAGTTTTCTAGTTTATTTTGTGGGTTTAGTATTGCTTCTAGAGTGAGAGCCTTGTTTAGATTGAGGGTGGTTTGTAATGCGGTTCGATGTGTTAGGTAGTGTTTGCAGTGAATGAGTGCGTGTTCTGGGGTTTCTAGTTGTTTGCAGTGTGGGCAGTTACCTGTAGTGTGTTTTCTTTTCTTTTTTTAGGTGGATATTTAGGTTGGTGTGTCCTGTTTGGAGTTTAGTGATTACTCTGTCGATTTTTTTTGATGGATGGAGAAATGATGTGTCAATCTCATTCTAGACATATACTACGAGTGACAGTCGCAGCAACCTTGTACTTTGGACAGGATACACGTTTATGAACGATCAAATATTAAATGAGTTTTGACAACTGGAAATAGCTGAAATAGTATTTACGTTAATGACGTATACTGTGCAGTGAAAGTGTGTTCAGGATCACTATTTTGTCTCATACAGAGTTACAGCATATGATTTGCACATTTTGTGATATTGAACTGGAACTTTTTCAATTAGCTGTTCATCACCTACATGGGAATTCAGGTACGAATATGTCTCCAGCAACATTTATTTGTCGTTAGAGGAAATGTGACCATATAACCTTTCAATAAAGCCTGTTCAAGTAGAATACTTAATACTTTATTTAATTTTTATCTTACATCACTGTCAACCAACTCGATATTTGAATGAAAATGCATTTTTGTAACAGATGTAGACGTATTGCCCACGCCATGACATTCAGGCTTTGTGTCAGATTCGCAGGGAAGCATAGCCTTGGTCAGTATGGCCTCACTGGCATCTCTTGACAATCTGTGGACAATCTGACGTACAAGTAGGTAAAACATCCCGCCCAATCAACACCGGATTGTTGTTACTGTCAATCCTCTATGGATGTTGTTATCCATAAAATTTTGTCTACCTTGTCATCCGTAAACTTCTAAGTAATGCCTAGCAAATAATTTAAAAGATCATTATATATATACTTTGTGTGTGCAATGTTTCGGGAAAGGATAGCCATTTGCTTAAGAGACATGGTCCAGACAAACAGACCACTATGAATGCAATGTGTCATGTAAGAATACCTATTTGTTATATATGATATGGTCCAGACAAACATTGACTACAGACGGACATACAACACATACTATATATGCTCCGTTTTTCATACCAGAGGAATTTTAAGGCAAACTATCATGAAGTAAGAAGAATATGCTGAAACATTACCATGTTGCATTTCATTCCGTGCACCTAATGATAATGCCCCAAAGGTGGGACAGGATACGCTCACCTATTTGCAAACACCTGGTATCATCACTATCTGATAGTGTTACATAAATACATACTCATGACCTAGGCGGAATTGTACAATCTACTCTGCTGTTAGTAGAGATTTGTTATAAAAATGGAAATGCATTTTTCGAATGATAATAACAGAAGAGGACATACCGAGTTCACATCTGTCTCCCCCGTGGCCAGATGTACATTTGCAGACAATTGCGCTGTTTTCAACTGAACACGCTCCTCCATTCTCGCACGGATTGATGTCGCATGAAGCTGTCAGAAATATACAGCACTCTCGTATCAAATAATGCATAACTAATGGTGATAGACTAATTATAACTCTATTAATTACTCAGTATGTTGTTTGAAACACTGTTAGACAATTTTGTATTCATAAATACTGTAAATCCTGAAATTAATGCGTCTCCAAAAGAATGCGACCGCTGGTCCCTAGCCAAAAATGCGACTCAATATGAATGCGACGACCCCTCCTCTCAAGCATCAGTGGATGTATATCTAAAGAAATGTCCTCTGTCAGGTTTACATACTTACTTACTTACTTTGGAGATGTGACGTGCGTTTTCCGACTGATGCGTATTTCGCACACGGGCCCGGCCAGGCCATTTCATGTGTTTCCGAAAGGGGCGAAAGTGGTGTGTGCAACCTAAGAGGGGGCTTTAGGGGTTGCTTATATAGAATTTGGGAATTTTGAGATTTGGAATAGATGCCGATGGGGTTGGGGACGAGAACTAAGGGAGCCTGGTATGGTGGATGTTTGTTTGTTTATGTGATTTTGATTTGGTAGATTATTTTGTTTTTAGATGCGTTTTATCAGTTTTCATTAAGAATACGCCTAAGGCCTGGAAGTTTTCTAGTTTATTTTGTGGATTTAGTATTGCTTCTAGAGTGAGAGCCTTGTTTAGATTGAGGGTGGTTTGTAATGCGGTTCGATGTGTTAGGTAGTGTTTGCAGTGGATGAGTGCGTGTTCTGGGGTTTCTAGTTGTTTGCAGTGTGGGCAGTTACCTGTAGTGTGTTTTCTTTTCTTTTTTTAGGTGGATATTTAGGTTGGTGTGTCCTATTTGGAGTTTAGTGATTACTTTTGCGATTTTTTTTGATGGATGGAGAAATAATGTGTCAATCTCATTCTAGACATACACTACGAGTGACAGTCGCAGCAACCTTGTACTTTGGACAGGGTACACGTTTATGAACGATCAAATATGAGTTTTGACAACTGGAAATAGCTGAAATAGTATTTACGTTAATGACGTATACTGTGCAGTGAAAGTGTGTTCAGGATCACTATTTTGTCTCATACAGAGTTACAGCATATAAACTTTTTCAATTAGCTGTTCATCACCTACATGGGAATTCAGGTACGAATATGTCTCCAGCAACATTTATTTGTCGTTAGAGGCGGTCAGACTCGCTGCCGTTGTACCCTGACGGCGTGAAACATTAACTGTGCTATCAGTTACATTTTTTTCTTGTCCAGATTCGACTCCATTAAGGACGCCGTCGTTAGCTAGAATGTTTCTCAGTGTGTCTTGCCAGGGAACAAAAGACGAAATCATCTGTAGATTACATTACCAAATTTGAGACACACAGTGATTTTTACTTAAATTGTGTGGTTAATAATGAAAGTTATTGCCAGCTGTCATTTAAATATACGGGTGTTAACGCAAAAAGTAATTTGAGATTCAAATGAGCAGCATTCAAAATGCCAATATTTCTCTGAAAAAAGATGTGAAAGTTCCTAACCCGTATCACATGTTTCTCCGCCATAACCACCAGTACAGCTGCATGTTTTGCTGTCATCGGCCCCTTCACATGTACCATGACTGCTGCAGCTGGCAGCATTGGTGCACTTGTTTGTCGCTTGTACGTTCTGGACGATGCATACAGCCATTACCATCAGAGTGAGTGAGTTATTATTTAACGTCACATGGGCAATATTTCAGCCATATCGTGACGAGATTACCATCAGAGCTAAATCACGAACAGTAAATACTATGAATAGCTGAATACTTGAATTTACGGAACTTGCATTTCCACCCACTTGCTCTTTTTCAATCAGGTAAGAAAAAATGTAATCTCAAAAAATATTATGCTTTTCGTGGAAATTGCCTAAGACCTGAGGAATATTGGACTTTACTCTCGCATTAGGCTGACACTCCGTGATATTACGGAATTTAATATGAATTTTATGAAAATAAATATAACATAAAACTGTGTCCGAGCCACAATGACATGTTCCAGTACTGATATTCTTAAATACGCGAAATATTTCATCATTGTTAAGAGACAGTCTTATCAAACAAGTACACAACACGTATGTATTTTCGTTATCGTCTGTATCACAAGTGTACCATATAACAGTTCAAAATTCACAATTTCAGTCGGGACAGGCGTTTGGGAAAACCAATGAGTGAAAAGAAATTTGATGAATTTCATAATATCTGAGCCCATTAGCCTCATATTGTTCGATCATTATCATGAATTACAGTAAATATGGAATTGATAATTGTTGTTTTAAATTGTGATCATTTGTGTTTTAACATCAAGTCTTTTTAATGAGCAATGTGTCACAGATTACTCGTTCTTCACCATTAGCAGTGTATGCAGTGTACAAGAATGTTCAGCTCGAAAGCAATACCGCACGTAACGCTAATGACATATGCAAACATTTTGGTTTAAAACTCACAAGTCAGTTGGGACAATAATATAACAGTTTTAATCTGGGACATTTATAAATTCTAAAAGAAGTAAAAATGAAATAATGATAACAATGTGTATGTTTATAATGTGCCAAATCCACAGTCTAAAACACGCTCAAATTATTACCCAGGCCTATGGACCGGTGTGCACTCGATTATCATTCTCAGCTCCCTTGACAGTATACATATACAACCCAAGCTGTCTGTGAGGCGCCAGGTTAACAGCCACATTACCATCTCATAATAATGGGTACCCATTCACTGCTTATTTCGAATACTCTAACAAGATGACTTGCCTAAAATATAAGGAGACACACCACATGTGCTACATGTGCTTCAGTGTTGGGCAGGACATAAGCCCTAGAAATTCAAAAGTGAAGTTGACGAACGCGGTCACCCATCCAACTACTCTCCGCGATCAACGTTGCTTAACTGCACCTAATTAATATCCACCAAAGAGAACAACGCTAGAATAGATAGTTATAGTTTGAAATTAGTGAAATTCGTGAAATTAACTCACAATCAGCAGATGTACAATGGTAATCTTGAACATCTTGGCAGGCCCAAGTCCAAATATCTCACTCTCTGTGACGACTTCGACCTCCACTTGCGAGCGGTTGGAATGGTGGAGCTTTTATAACGTATGTAACCATGGCTTCTCTGTTGATATAGTAACCCCTCTGTGCTTTCGTAGGTCATAGATAAGTGAATCACTGTATTTGTGTAAATCTATGCCTGTCCATGACCAATACCAACATGTTTTATCATGACTGAGCGAACCCTGTGTTTGTTTGAGAATTAAAAAAACCACATCACACCTATAATTGATCTTCGGACTAACAAGCCGATTTATCATGATAAGGATTGACAAGTGATTTCAGTGATCGTTGTTTTTTGTCTATATGTAATTATCTTCACAGGTTAGCCCAAACATTTTTAAATCATTTTACGAACGTTCGGACTAGTTTCAAAACGACTGGATGTTTCTTACACCAAGTTATATTACCACAGCTTCTGACTAAGTGTATCCTCTGGAGCTTTGAATCGCTTTAGCCCACGACAGTCGCGTGAACCCAGTAGCATCGCCTGAATCACTTTACAAATATTAGAACTGAATACTACTACTATTACAACATATCATGTATATAATCACTCATTACTTTGTCTAGTCACTCCAGCTTGATAAGGGTGTAAGAATCTACATAAAAAAACGTCGCTAAATGCAATAAAACAGAAGCAGTATGTTTTCTTTTTCACTCACAAACTTCTAGATTGTCTGTCAAACTGTTTTAAACCTTTTTTGACTGTAAGAATTGTTATACCATGGACATAATTTGTGCCAGTAAATACAATTCATTCACTCTGTTCAGGTTAGAATAGGTCCCAAACAAGGCAACTAGATGGATCGGGTGGTCAGGCTCAGTCATTGGTTAACAGCGTGTCATCGTACACGGGCAGCGTGGGACGTTGGCGGATGGATGACCTGCTTCAGCAAGCATGACTCGCGAGAGTTTAACGGGCTTCGGTCATGCCCAACACTGACGCATGTTACATGTGGCGTCTCCGGTCCTTAGGAAAGTACATATATGAACGATTACAGATTTATTCTTCTCAAAATGACCCCCATGTATGTGTACATTTCGTCGCGCCTTTAGCACAGGAGTCAATGCAGAGCACTCTGTCAAAACAATACTGATGCTACATGTACACAATATGTAATCGATGAACCTATTTTAATGCATGGCTGTTGCCACTACCACTAGACTACGGAGGCTGTTGCCTGCAAGTGAGATTAAGTGAGAGATAGCGAAATGTTTTGGTGTTTGTCAGGCTGGTTGATGCATCTCATCGTATCCCAATTGCCGCACTCAGCAATATTCCAGCTATATGACGACGGTCTGTAAATAATCAAGTCTGGACCAGACAATCCAGTGATTGACATCATGAGCATCGATCCACGCAATTGGGATCGATGCCATGCATCAACCAAGTCAGCGAGCCTGACCACCCGATCCCGTTCCACCGTCATATATCTGGAGTGCGTTGGTTAATAACAAACAAACACATCTAAACTGCAAAGAGACGTGTAAATGTATTATAATTCAGGAATCGGTCGTCCTCTAAATCATCGCCTTAAGATGACACTAAACACAAACATTATTTCTAAAGATCAGCAATAAAATCTGCGAAAGCAAAATTTTCAAGTACCTAGTCTTTAAATGAAAAGACTATTACGTTTCAAATAGATAACATTGTTTCGTCGGGATTTCAAATGTGTAAATGCAGTAACTATCGTTGTAACAGCATTTCTCATAGAAATCACCACACAGCCGCTACTGGAAACGACTCCATCGGCAACCGAACACAATCGATCATATCCGTTAAATTCCGCATTTCGCCGAAATACACTTCCTGCCGTTAACCTGTGAGATCCTGGATAGAATAGGTCTTCAGCAACCCATGCTTGCCGTTAAAGACGACTAACAGGATCGGGTGGTCAGGCCCGCTGACTTGGTTGATATCATCGATCTCAATTGCGTGGGTGGATGCTCATG